ATTTATTAAAATAAAAATTGAGAGGACAGCAGAGTGAGACATCAGAGAGTAGTACATTTTGCTGCATATACATGGTTTGGTATAGACAGAAATGTAAAAATTCAGGATATGGTACAACATATACGGGGGGGGAAGGGGAAGTTGGGGCTGGGGGTTTGCTAGTGGGGTGTTAATTTAGTAAGATCTTAAGGACACTTTCTGGTGGTATAGCTCTTTAAAATTGCCTGCATCAGATGCAAAAATCTGTGAAATCTGTGTGACGGCGCCACGGCTCAACCACCCTGAGCTTGTATGCACTCTCTAGTCTCAGTGCACCTCCACACATGGTGTGTGCCCCAAAATCTTGCATCTATTATCAAAACGTACATCAATCTGTTGTCAACACTGATATTTCCCATGTGGGGGCACAAGGAATTTCTGAATTTCCATCCTGCTTTTCCCTTTTTTCTAATTTATTTTTAAAGCCCAACCCCAGTCAAAAAAGGTTGCCCACACTGCATACGTTAACTGCTCATTTTGTCCAGGGGAGGGGAGAAAGCTCTATACTCATCCAATCCTCCCCTCCACTGGAAAACAGTGCTCTCCCACGATCCAGCAGAGGACTGTTCCTGCTGTTCTCACGTCCAGAGCAAGTCTGTGGGCGTGATGACGTCAGGAACAGTCCATTGCACAAGACTGCTAGATCATGCGCTGGAAGTGGAAGGTGGAGGTAGGAGCAACAGGGACTGGTCTTGTGCAAGGAGGATTGAAGGATTAGTTGGGTATATGTCTGTTCTCCAGAGTCCTAGACAAAAACAAGCTGTTAATCCTTGCAGTGTGAAAAGTTTCCTGCACCGTATTCAAAAGGCACTGCAGTTGAAATCTGCAGTGGGTGTCAATATTAAGTTAATGACACTGCAAACGCAGTGCATTTGCCCGCGCCACATCGCATGGTACAAAATACCATGCGATGCGATTGCAGTAAGTTTGCAAAAGTAGTGCATGCACTGCTTTTGGTGTGGTGCAATTTCAGCCCATTCAAAATAAAGGGAATGCATGTAAATTGCACAGGAATGGCAGTGCGTTTCTGTGTGATTACTAGTGTGACCCGGCCATTAAAGTTAATCATAGTAGTTGTTTTCGCAATCAGGGGTCAATGTTTCCACAGGAATTCACTAGGACCAAAAAAAAAAAAAAACATTCACTAGGGGTTTCACTGTATAATACATCAAAAATGATTATCTCAACTCTTTTAAATCATACAGACACACTTTTGATTTACAGTTCTGTAAAACTTGCTTCATTGCTGGCTGACTTCGATACTTTAGGATTAAAAAAAATTCTCAACAGATATTCAATAGCAGTACAGATACATTTCTGGCAATAGTTTCCATTAGGACTGCATGCGTCTGATTCAGGCAAGCATTTGCGCCAGTTATGGTAACATTACCAATGTGGTTGACAAATTCAGGTAGTTCTAACTTCTGCCATTTTAAGAACCTACCTCTATAGCAGCAACATTCTTTAAGTTAGGCTCACACCTATGCAGTTTATGTTTGATCTGTTTCTGCAGTGCTTTTTGTGGTTTGTTTTGTGTTGTTTGTAGCAGTTTTTTGGCCATATTGTTGCTGTGCAAAATAAATACACAAAACGCATCAGGACGCATAAAAAACAAACTACATGTATTTTTGCAGCGTCTCCATTGATGTCTGTTGAACCAGAATCCATCATTTTGCATTTTAAAAAAGTCCCTGACCCTTTGACACCCTAACGCCTTTCGAATCTATGTGCACATCCATCGGGGATGCTCAACACCTGTTATTGCAGACGTACAAACTCTTACTTACTTACTCTTACTTGGCAACCACTTCTAGACGGTTCCCTACTTCATACGGGAATGGGAGCTACAACTGGCTGTGGAATTCACTTCGCACCAGCTGCAAGAAATTTATTCAATTGTCCCATTTTGTCTTCAGTAAGCTCTTGGACTCAAGAATCTTGTTTAATGCAGGCCATAGACGGGTAGAACATCGGCCGATTTTTTTGAATGATAAACGAAAAATCGGTCGGTCGTTCGGCTGACGTTATCGCCAACGAATAAAAAAATCGTCCGACTAAATCAAAGGTTCACCCCATAACTTCTGTCCCTTTCAGGTCACAACTCATGCGCAGATTTTTTTATTGTTAAAACGATCATCCGATTTGGCCATTATTGCCGGGAAAATCGGCCAAATCGGCCGCAAATTTCCCAACATAACCGATAATCTGAAAGTGCAAAATACACGAATAACGGCCGACGAACTAATCCACTAACGGTACGAAAATCGGCCGATTTTTCTTTCGGACGAAAAATCGGACGATTAACTACCCATCTATGGCCTGCATAAGTTCCTATTCTGCTGGTAGAAAACGCCCTACCACTTAGCTAATGTCTTTCCAGGTGCAACTCGTAACTGCTGGAGGGGATGTTCCCAAGAGGGCACTTTTCTGCATCTCTGGTGGTACTGCCCCTAAATTCAAAAAGTTTGGGAGGGATATATCACTGTGGATACATAGAACAACTCTCAAACCCATACAATTTACCCTCCTCCACTACTTATTCCATGATACTCCATCTTCCCTCAAGTCATATAAATATAGCATTACTCCCTAACTTTTAAATGCAGCTAAAAGTCTTATAAAGAGATTTCGGAAACAAGTCCACTGCCCTACACTGCATGACTGGGAGAGAGAGGTAGAGAAGGTCATGGAGGCAGAGAGATGGGTATACATCGTTCAAAATAAGCAGGAGAAATTCTGTGACATCTGGTCTGGCTGGATGTACTACTCCTTAGAACTTGACGACCCCAATTGACCTGCTTTTCGGTCATTACACTGAACTCTGGCCTTCAATAGCCATTTCCCTTCTGATATGATTATACTAGAGACTGCTAATATTTCCTCATGGGAACCTTATCTCTGTTGACCTTGGACTGCACACTGACCTCTGGTTGGTGCATTATGTACTATAGACATGACCTCATGCTTACACAACCTCGCTATTAAGATTCTAGTTTACCTTTACATAAGTTTTATGCTACACCATTTTTCTTTTTCTAAGTGTCTTTATCAAGGATACACATAATATTATTGGAGTTGTGTCACTTGTTACATGCAGTGAGGTGGACTGAATCTCAGTTGTCCCACCACCACCTGAAGTCTTACTGTGGATACACGCTTCTGATGCAGGGTTTATTTTTATTTTTGTCATGCTACATTCTAAGATGTATGTACAGCACATCTGAGCAGTGTTTTCTCTCTGCTATAGAGAAGTACTGTGACTGAAGTTATATCTTATTCTTTTTTGCATTGAAAATATTTCAATAAAATGAGATTATGCAAAAAGAAAAAAAAAGTCCCTGACCCTTTCCAAAAATCGCACTGGTTGAAAATGCAGAGATGTGAACTTAACCCATAGGAAATCATGTTAAATGGATTGTAGTGCGTTTCTGTATGACGCAAAATGCTTAGGCGTGAACCTAGCCTAAAGGATTGCTGAGAGTTTGCAGATCAGGAAACTGGCGGTGTTTAAGACAAGTTCTGAACTGGCATTCAGAGGAATGGCAATGCTAGGAGTGGCAATTCAAAATAGAAATTAACTCTCCTGCGCTCAGAGACCCAAAGGAGGTGGATAGATGGAACTAGAACTTGAAAAAATGCGACCACCTGTGCATATGGGGTTGTGCAGCTCCAAACAAGGCTGGGGAAGCCCGACCAATACTGTGAAGCAAAGACAAAAAAGAAGCGCACCAACCTTGCGCATTACCTCAGTAAACCAAATTTTATTGAATACAAAAATATACTCACAGACAATGAAGTATTTCAAGCATGTAAGTTCTCAGAGGAACTATGGAATAGTAAAACCTGCGCGAGTCCCATCATAGGGGTGGACACTCAGGGAACATCTGACGCGTTTCGAAGGGTGTGCTCTGATGAAGAAGGGACACCCTTCGAAATGCGTCAGCTGTTCCCTGAGTGTCCAACCTCCATTTGGTTGACACTCATGGCAGTGGATGGATTCAAAAGCTTCCATTAAGCTGAAATGTGGCTATGAATCTACCTACTGCCATGTGGTGTCGGTCAACAGTCAGGTGGACCTAATGGGGAACTAGTTGCAGTGGCTGGAAAGCAAAGGAGTTCACTAGTACAGTATAAACACGCCAACCTCAGCACCGACAGATTCCTCTACTGTGACCGTTACATGAATCGGCTTCAAGCACTGACACTTTGGGTGTGATGGACAACAGAATTCTAAAGGGTGTCTACGACATTCTTTATGAATTTCCTCCCATAGACCGCAAAGAACAAGTTAACCTAGCCTTCAAGTGAGTAGGACGCTGGAAAACAAATAAAAGAAGATATAATTAATGTTTAAAAACCTAAATGAATAAATTTGCCATATTACACTGTTTGCCTGGATAAGGCATCTTGCACATGGGTGCCTGAGCCCATGCAATGTAAATGCCGGTGTCCTTCCCCCATCTGGGAAGCTCTGGTGCAGTGTACAGCAACCCATAGATGTGAATGGATTTTCCCATCAGTACAACACCGCCTCACATGAATCACTTTCAGCGTCCCAGCCACAGAATTTCAAAGTCTCGGTTAAAGGCAAGCTCATCCAGCAGGTTGAAGTCAGATTATGGAGGCTTTAAGGCAGCATCCAGGTCTCCTCACTACAGACAACAAAACTGCCATCAACCAACCTCTCTGACTAGCTGCTTAACCACTTCCATACCGGGCACTTTTACCCCCTTCCTGCCCAGGCCAATTTTCAGGTTTCACCGCTCTCACACTTTGAATGACAATTGCGCGGTCATACAACACTGTACCCAAACTAAAATTTTATAATTTTCTTCACACTAGAGCTTTTTTTTGGTAGTATTTAATCACCGCTGGGGATTTTATTTTTTGCTAAATTTTCTGTTCTAAAAGTTTGCAAATAAATAATTGTTCTTCATAAACTTAGGCCAAGATGTATTCTGCTACATTTCTTTGCTGAAACTAACCCAAATTAGTATTTATTATTTAGTTTGTAGGAAAGTTAGAGTTCACAAACTATGGGAGATATCTGAAAATTGATCAATCCTGAGGTACTGATGGACAATCTAATTTCTTGAGGTCCAAGAATGTCAGAACAGTACAGATATCCCCCAAATGACCCCTTTTTTCAAAGTAGACAGCCCAGCGTATTTCATAAGAGGCATGGCGAGTTTTTTGAAGTTGTAATTTTTTTTGTCATAAGTTTTTGGAAAATGAAGAGATTAAAAAAATTATTTTCACTATTTTTTTTTTTACATACTGTCACCAGTGCAGTACAGCGTCATCATATAACTGGCACGGTGGTGATCAGTGACACTGGTGACAGTACAAAATTTTTTTAAAAATTTTTTTTATTACATTTTTTTCTCTTTTTTTTTTAAGATTTTTTTTTTTCAATTGGTCACAACAGGTCACATGGTACTGGCAATGGGGCCGGTACACAGATCTGTCATCGGCCTTGTCCGAGGTACACAGCTGGTGACAGATCGCAGCACGGCCCTGCAGACATGCGCAATGCACGCTCCGGAAAGGACGCCATATGGTGTCCACCCGGAGGGATGAGCTGTTCGCCCGGTCGCCATCTAGCTATAGCCCGGACGGCAACGGGTTAAGCCCTGGTTCACACTGGATGTAACTTAGCATGTGATTTGCATGCCCTGCTACTTGCCAATATCATGCTAAGTTGCACCCTATTGTCCACAATTATAGCGGTCATATCGGAGCCACACCGATTTCAAAAGTAGTACATGCTCTACTTTTGGTGCGATTTGCATAGGCATCTGTATCAGATGTCCTGCAAATTGCACCTGAAATCGGCGGTGTCACAATCATGCCCACAGGGAGAGGTGTGGTTCTCCATTTTGCCCCAAACGTATACATTTTGGTATTGCTCTTAAACTAATATGCAGTCACCTGAGAGGGGGAGGTGTAGTATCGTACATATAAGAGCCAGGCACGGACTCTCCCTGTAGTAAGAAGGCTTCATGTATCTCCTAATTCCCCCTCCCTCAGGAATGCAAGCAGCGTATGATGCTGAGCCCTGCCTAACAATTCCTCTGCCAAATAAGGTAGTGAAGATACTAGTTGATGTTGTGTAGAAAAAGAAGTGTTATCTTTTGTGTTGAGTCAGAGAAGTGAGAACTGTTTTCGATATACCGTATATACTCGAGTATAAGCCAAGTTTTTCAGCACATTTTTTGTGCTGAAAAACGGCCCCCTCGGCTTATACTTGAGTCAACGTCTGCAGGGGGCTGCTGTCTCTTACCTGGCTCCGGTCCCACGACAATCAGGTCCAGGAAGCGCGGCTGCTCCTTCATTCGGTTCGTCCACTGGATGTTCGCGCGGCTGCTCGGCTCCGCCTTCTCACCGGTGATTGGCCGCCAGAACTGTAGCTCAGGAAAGGCACACAGGCGGCCAATCAACGGCGAGGAGGCGGAGCTGAGCGGCCCCGCGAAAATCGAGTGAAGGAGATGCAGGTAAGTGTGCCGTGCTTAGGTGCTGCTGCAACCACATATGCTGGCTGCAGCAGCACCATACTGGAACAGGGGTCAGCAAGTGTCAGTGGGAGGAATAGTGCCCCATCATTGGTGTCACTGATACCAATGATGGGGCATTATTCCTCCCACTGACACCAACGATGGGGCACTTTTCCTCCCCCCCACTGACACCAACAATTGGGCACTATTCCTCCCCCCCCCCCCCCCACTGACACCAATGATGGGGCACTATTCCACCCCCCACTGACACCAATCACGGAGCACTATTCCACCCCCCACTGACACCAATCATGGAGCACTATTCCACCCCCCACTGACACCAATCATGGGATACTATTCCTCCCCCCCACTGACACCAACGATGGGGCACTTTTCCTCCACCCCCCCACTGACACCAATGATGGGATACTATTCCTCCCACTGACACCAATGTTGGGACACTATTCCTCCCACTGACACCAATGATGGGACACTTTTCCTCCCACTGACACCAAAGATGGGACACTATTCCTCCCACTGACACCAAAGATGGGGCACTATTCCACTGACACCAATAATGGGGTGCTATTCCCCCCACTGATACCAATGATGGGGCACTATTCCTCCCACTGACACCAATGATGGGGCACTATTCCTCCCACTGACACCAATGATGGGGCACTATTCCTCCCACTGACACCAATGATGGGGCACTATTCCTCCCACTGACACCAATGATGGGGCACTATTCCTCCCACTGACACCAATGATGGGGCACTATTCCTCCCACTGACACCAATGATGAGGCACGATTCTTCCCACTGGTGTTCCCACCCTCGGCTTATACTCGAGTCAATAGTTTTTCCCAGTTTTTTGTGGTAAAATTAGGTACCTCGGCTTATATTCGGGTCGGCTTATACTCGAGTATATACGGTAACATCTATCGGACAGAAAGCAAAGGAGAATCTCGTGGCAACAACGAAACCCAGTGCGAGACCAGAAATCCCTTTTTTAGCTCATCAGACTTGAAACTGCTTAACTCCAGGCATCTATTTGGCAAGTACTTATCTACCTAAACATCTTTCTGTTATCTATAGCGCAAACATAGACCTCTACATCAAATCAATATACAAAGTGCAAACATATATAGAAAATTATATTAATAGTGAAGTCCATCATGGTTAATAGACAACAAAAGTTCAGAAATCTCAAAAAAAAATTTTTGTGCAAAAAAAAGTTTTTCAAATTTTTCTTCTATTGTAAAGAAAAAACTTCCACCTTCCACCCGTGCAAACCAACATCAAATGCACTCACCAGATTTAGGTGAATGAAACACCTTTTAGGAATTTATATGGGATCCTAAACCCTCTTTCGTATCCACTCTATAGGAATCCTCACCTTCAGTGTAGGCTCCACCATACAACCGGGGAGAGAAAAATCTCAGATAGTGTAATATTGCAAAATACCATTTATGAATAAAATCAAGTATTAAGGCCACTCACATTTAAATCACTTTAAAAAGGCATATTTATTAGGACAAGCTTCTTCCAGATGGACAATGAGTGTAAGACAACCTCCCACGGAATCTCACATCACAGCTCCAGGATACAGCAGAAGCTCCACAGAGACCAAACATGCACAGATCCCAAAAGATGGCCGCTGGAACGCACCGCTCAGCGTGCGCTCCACTCACCGGAAGCGACGCCAGACGCAAGGGGTAACAACCGGAAATGCGTCAACGCGTCTCGCCCCTCCCACCGGGCGTTCTCAAGACGTCTTAGGTGTTTCATTCACCTAAATCTGGTGAGTGCATTTGATGTTGGTTTGCACGGGTGGAAGGTGGAAGTTTTTTCTTTACAATAGAAGAAAAATTTGAAAAACTTTTTTTTGCACAAAATTTTTTTTTTGAGATTTCTGAACTTTTGTTGTCTATTAACCATGATGGACTTCACTATTAATATAATTTTCTATATATGTTTGCACTTTGTATATTGATTTGATGTAGAGGTCTATGTTTGCGCTGTTTATTTACATTTATCACATTTTGTGTTCACCACATTGCACAGCAGCAGGATAGATCCTGTAGTAGGGGGTTTCACTTGGCGCAGGAAGAATTTTTTAATCTTTCTGTTATCTGTTTGCTGTGCTGTTGTGCTCTGTATATTTATATAGGTATATATATATTGGTTACATCTTCTTTCTGTAAATATTTTTACTGCACCCTTTTGACTTTTTGGTAATAAATCTTACTTTCTGAAAGTATTGAACTGTTTCTAAAGCTCTTGAATGTAACTTACGAGTCCCTGCCGCTGAAGAATGCTACTATGAGTATTTAACCCTCTGTATAACTGGTCTGTAGAGATAGCGGGATACTGACGGTTAACCAATCATCCTAGTGTATTGCTGAGTTTCCTCTTTCTCTGTATAAAAAGGAGGTGGTGGCAGTGTGAAGGGTTAATTGTGTAATTAACCTGACCCAGTAACAATCGCATTCAGGCTGCCGGTATGTCGATCGTGGTCCAATTAGCTGGAACATCGGTGTGCAGGATGCAGCTGGGTGTGGCATTGTTACGCACATGACAGCGTGGTTTTAGATTGGCTAGTCCTTAGGTCACGAGTTTGGTGAGAAGGGCTGGGGTCTGACGCCGCGTCCGTCACAGGCGGGTCCCTGACTTTGAAATCGTGCAACTTCACTTGATGTGACTGGAGGGTAATAAATAGGCCTGAAGGGAAAGCGCCTGCCCTCTTCAGTTAACCCTCTCTTAACTCTGCCCAAAGCTGACTCAATAAAAAAAGCGCATGATAAAAAAGAGAAAATATGTCTTTGGAGAGCGAATGAAGAAAAATAAATCCTAGATCAATATCCTTTGGGGTGATTGAAAGTATTTATAGCAAAATAGGCTGTACGTTACACCTGGGCTTCCTGGGCAGGAGAAAGACACAGGCATTTAAGTTGTATGGGTACAGACGACCAAATGCAGGAGGCTTTAGACTGGATAAATATGCGATTTGCAGCCTTAGCTTTGTATTCCTTTTTTATGTAGTTGGATGGCATCTCTGCACGGACTTCAATGCCAAGCAGTAGGAAAACAAGCTTTGATGGAAGCTAAAGATTAAATGAGAATGGAAAGGAAACAAGGAGAGAAGAGTGAGAGAAAGGGAGGTGGAAGAGGTGATTTGGGGGGGCGGGGGGTTGCCAGTGTTGAAATTGTATGTAATTGTTGGACGGTACTCCTAAGGAAAATAGGCGACTGAAATCATCGTGTTTTTTATTTGCAACCCCATACAGCTAAATGTTTTCTTACTGAGTGGTGTTGCAACTTATATTTCACCAGTAAGGATATTCCTGAGGGCACATTTGTGTATTTCCATTTTCTGCTTTGTGTACAGCTGCAAATGTTCAAATTATTGTAACTGCTTGATAAACGCAAATACAAAATAATGCGTATGTTTCAGGTGAACAATGTACTATTCATGCAACATGCTGTTCTGAACAAATACATAATCACAGAATGTTCACCGACGATTTGCAGATGCAGAGAATAATGTGTAGCCTTGCCAAGGAATTGTAGAAGTTTTTAGATAATCTTCTATTGTGATTCTAAATTTGTATGTAGATAGGTGTTCGCTGCCCTGCAAAAATGTTAACAAAATTTTGCCTAGCATTTCATATATTTAGTTCATCTTATTGGCATTTACTGTGTATAACAGAACATGTT